CTGGGGTGTCCAGCAGACCCTGGTAAACGTGGTAAAGTTGGCAAGCTGGGCTTTACATCTGTTACGCTAGGAGAGCCACTACACAATGATGAAAGATCAGTCTCCTGTTGGGTCTTACAAACTCCCATCTTTCTTTTTGGATGAAATGCTAGATTCTGTGAAGTCTAAAGGCAAAGCACTTTCCTTTCAGCAAACACCAAATTCCATGATACATGCATATATGTTTAATTTATAGCTTTTATTAGTGATTTGCTTTTTCTGTTGCTGCCATGCAACTGGCTCTGGAATAAAAAGCAGCTGTTAATTAGCAGTCCATAATGAAATAACATGCTTTCCACAGAGGTATGCAACCTCTCTCAAATTTACAGTAAATTTAAAGAAGAAAGTTTTTTTTTTTTACCCAACTTGCTACCTAAAAACTACTCTCTAGAGTATTTGTTTTGGTTCCCTCTGTCTCTTTCTTTTTCCTGTTTCATTATACAACAGTAATGGCTTCTGATAATTCCACAGGTGGTTCAAGTTGCTGTAGAAACCTCATTGGCCATAGACAATACACTACCTGATTCTTCATATTTAGTTCAAGTGCGGTGCAGGAATCGTCATGGTCCAGGGTTCTGGAGTGACTGGAGCCCACCATATCATCTCAACTTGGGAGGTAGGTCATGTGCAGTAAGTAGTCTTTTGGAATAGAACAGATTTCCCAGTTTGTTTTGTGTTGTGGAATGAGTATTTAAGGGCATGTGTTAGCCAGGGAGGTACAGTATGCATGAGTTGGGCTGAAAAATCCTGTGGAAGTTCTTACCCTCTGGTTTTGTCTGAGATTCTGCTCTTTCCTTTGTACAAGACTCGCACTGAACGAGTTTTGGACCCAGTGCATGTAGACTGCACAGTCAGCTCCATGACACCTCCTTGTCTGGCCCTGTTGCTAGCTCACCCAGAACCTGTTCAGACCCAGAAAAATATCTTTTTCTAAGAGTTTTTCCATTTCAGAAGACAGCTGGCAGCATTTAACCTCTATTCAGGTACAAGATTTTTCTCCTAATGCTTTCTCTAACTTTTAGCTCAGTATGAGGCTTTGTAGCTGAACTAAAAGCCCAGAACACAGTTTGGGGTTTGTAGATTTAATCTAATCCATCTTGAGCCCTGTTCATAAACTTCATAATAGCCCCAGCCAGCCAGTTTCAATGCATGTGGCTTTAGGGTTAAGCATATAATTTTATATACTGTAATCAATTTACTACCCAAACAGGGTGAGTTCCTGAGACATCGCACACAGTAGGAGCTGTCCCAGACTGCGTAAAGGGCTCTTGTGATTTAATGAGTCCCTTAGATCAACATAGCTCCGGCTAGAATGATGGATCATAATGGCTCTATATTCAGAGTCTATAGGAAGAGAAAGAAGTTTTGTTTGGCAGATCCTTGGTTGCTGATTCACTTTGGAGATTGAGCTAGTTTGGATTAGCCTAAAGATTTCAGGATTTTTTGTTTTGTATTTTGCCATGCTCTGCTTATGATTAACTGGAAATGTTTTGGTCTGTGGTGTCACAGGTATCCTCTGAACCATTACATGACAATACTAATGCTGTACCTAAGCACTTAGGTGTACCCCTGCTTACTGCATGCTAAGTTGTGTGATCTATGTGCCTAAGTCAAGTACCAAGGAGATCACTAAACTTGGCAGAAGGAGCTCTCTTCCGAGAAACCTGAAAGTACACAGACTGTCATGGCAATAGCATGAAATGCAGGATGCCTGATTATATGGCTAGAGGCCTAACTGGCCCTTAGTCTTTTGGATTTATATCTATATATTAAAATAAATAAAAAAGGTGTCTGTGTGCATATATATCTATAACTATATAGCTTTGAGAATTCTTTGGGGTAAATACACACGTTCTCTCTCCCACATATGCATATACTGATGCTTTCAGAAAGGGTTTATGAGTGCATTGAGAAATCCGGATGTACAAGAGGGGCAGTAGATACTGTTAGATTGTTTTTTATGTTATGGGATATGTAATCATATTAACCTTATATCTCATCAGCAAAATAATCCTGTTGTGACAAACCTGATGGCAGCATAGAGGGATTAATTTCTTCACTGCAGGAAGCTCAAATTGACACGTTCTCCCCATGGCCAGTTAGGATGAAGCAGTGGAAGAAGAGTGGAGCATGCAGCACAG